TGACTAGTTTTCTTTGATCACAATGTATACTTCTATTCGTTCAGGCTATGAGAACACTGAAAGTCATTTAAAGTTTGACCTATTGCCTAGAACCATAACTTTTTATTACAAACTTGAAAATAAAAATTACTCAACCTTCCATATATAAAAGTACATTGTCTCTTTCTCTTCTGCTCCTTCCTGTTTGCATTGCCCCACAAGCCAAAGATGACTGTTACTAGACAGTAACGGGAGGATTCCAAGGTTCACATTCTGAAGTAAGAGTATGGTACTTTAGATCTTCAGATCAATCTTAATTCTACCCCCAAAATAAGAAAAAAAAGTAGGACAGAGTCCTCAGTTGACTGGGCTTTCTGCTATTTAACATTGCCATCCACATAAATGACCCATCTAAAAACTAGGACAGAGGAAATTTTCTGAAACCTATACTTACAGATTATAATAATACATTTTGGAGATTGGTAAATTTTCTGTGATATATATGAAAACAACACTTTTTATTACATTTTAAGCTAATTTCTCTATGACTTCATTCTAAAACAGCTTCATCTCATTTACTTTTTATTGATCAACTAAACTAATAAAATGTGCGTGTTTCTGCTATGTGCCAGGCACCATAATGAACGGTTATATCTAAATTGTTTTGAACAATTAACAGGTTTTAAGGAAATAAGTGGTACAGATCGAGAAGAGGTAAAAGGGCCTGCAACATTTGACTACTTAGTTCATTGTAATCTAATTTAGAATTAAATCTGGGATTGAAGTTTAATCTGAAATGGTCTTAATCAAAAATTATTTTTTGCATAGACCCACCTGTTCAAAAATCTGAAGATAAGGTTTCCTCTTTCTCTAGCCACTGTGAGGGTGAATTACATGAGTAAGGTGGAGGCTGGGGCAGAGGCATCAAATTTGATCCAAATGGTTAGAAGTTTATCGAGTTGGGGGAATGTCTATAATAGAAAAACTAGTTCTATCATCAACTGAGCTAAAGTGTGATCCCCCAGCCACTGTTACACCAGAAAATAAACAGCTGAAGTTAATTTTCCTTCTTCAGGTCATAAATCTGGAATCAGATTCCACTTCTATGGAGATTGGAGGTGGCTCCTTGATATGTCTATTTAGAGCCCACCTGGCCACTGAAAGATTAAACTCCTACCTCACACTACCTACTCTTTCACCCTGCAGTCTTTGCCAGGACTCCGTTTCCTGTCACTATCTAGCATCTCACTAGGTGAGTCTCCTCATTGTTAACCATCTCCAGTGAAATGTACCTTCATTTTTCCATTATTTTTAGAGTTAAATTACAAGCCCAGCAGGGTATGACTACATCTAATTGATTTTCTCCATTACCTATCACTCCTGTTGGTGCTTAACATTTTTTTACACCCCTTTTTAATTCATTTTCTGCAATATAATTGAAAATTTATATTACCACTAATATTAAAAATCAGCAATATCTAAGGCCTCCTTAGCAAATATGATCTCTTCACTGACGACTGAACCCTGAGCAGAGATTAGAGAATGTTGGGAAAGGAAATTCGTGCCAGGAGCGATTGAGAAGCAGCAGGAGGTACTGTAAAGAGAAATCCATTTTAGAGAAAATCTGACTTTGAGTCCTTAAGTTCACAGTGTGACCTTGGACAAGCCCCTTGAGATCTCAGGGGCCCTGTAAAATTAAGGCAGTTAGACAATCCCAAATATTCCAAATTCAGATATTTGATTTTACCAAAAAAGAGAAACATTTACTCTTAAGAACAATTCTGAGTGAGACCACCTCAAAAAGTAGAGATCCTGTATTCTCTAATTTGCAGTCAAACCAACACTGAGCTTATCCCATTATCATTCTATTTCTTAGACTATATAGCTGTTTGAAATTCTTTTCTCATTTTCTATTCTAGCATACACGTTTATAACACATTTCCACAGTAATCCCCACTCTAATATTTTTCCTATATCTTTACTTGTTTTACTTTGGTTGTTTTTCTCTGGGATATCATTTGTTTCTCCATTAATAGATTCCTAACTTCTTCCTTTATAGACTCTTGTTCCTGCCACTTTGCTTTGACAGAATCTCTTGGAAACAAGTGGAAGAGGATGTCATGTAGTGATGCTGGCATTTTTCTTTAACACTTGATAATCCTGATACATTTGCAGTGTCACACAACTTAATTTCTTTTTTCTGTATAAAATATATTTATATATGTTTTTTTTTTACAAAGTATATTTGGACTCAGAAAGAATCCAAAGATAGAAATAAAAATCCTTGCATTTTAAATAACTGCTGGATGAGTGACAAAGTCCAGTCCCAACACAAAGACTATGTCCTCTTTGTAAATGTATATACATCTTTTTACATTCTCTGTCTTCTAATTTGTCTATATTTTCTCTATTTACAATTTTTTCATTTCATCTCTTTCTGGATAATTAATCCTAACTTTCCAACCTTTTGATTTTCATTCTTCCCCCTTAAGTAACATTACCACACACATTCCTTTCCACATGTGTCCTCAAGTCTCCTTCCCAATAGGAGGAGATAAGGCTGGCCCTGGGCAAAACTACTATGAGAGAAATATAATGGGCCTGTAAACACCACAGGTTTGAACTGCAAGGGTCCACTTACATGCAAATTTTTTTTCAATAAATAACTTGGAAAAATTTGTGATTTGTAACAGTTGGAAAAAAATCCTTTTCTCTACTGTATGAATGCAGTATGTAACACTATAACATAAAGGATATGTGTTAATTGACTTCTTCTGTTACTCACAAAGCTTCCAGTCAACGGTAGGCTATTAGTAAAGTTTTGGGGAAGTCAAAAGTTGTATGTGGATTTTCAGCTGCACAAAGGCTGGTGCTTCAAGCCCACGTTGTTCAAGGGTGACCATACACCTTTCTTTGCCCTCTTGCTCTCCACTTAGAATTCTTTCCTTCTCTTTTTGGCATCACCATGTTCTAAAGATCTCTTATGTTGCTCTAGTTGGTTAACACATCAGGTGGACCTTTTTTATTGCTCCAAATTCTGGATTTTTTTTCCTGATCTCACTTCCTGCAACATGTATCCATTCTGAGTCCCATTCTCTCAAAGGGTCTTGGAGATCTGAATCCTTTGAGGTCCCAAAATGAACTAAACAGCCCACGTATTCTTTCTCTAGGCAAAAGCAAATTACCGGGGGCTTTTTAGGGATTTTGGCTAACTAAGAATAATCCAAGGTATCATCTAGAGAGAACATTTTATCATGCTTTTCATCTCCTTGAAAAATGTCAGGTCCAGCAGAAATGGACTAAAATGGAGGAAAATTCTAAAGGAGAAAATTGATATATCAGCCACTTTACAGATGATGAAGAAACTTACAAAGATAAAACTTCTCAAAGAAAAAATGTATTCACTTGAGGGTTCATGTTTTTTTTTTTTAGTAAAATGGAGTTGTAAGGAAAATACACAACCTTTGCATCCAGTTTATCAGCAATAACAGATGTAAGTTTTCAGTGCCTCTATGTTTTTATTTTTAACTGAGTTTTCATCACTTAGGAACCTTACTGTATATAAATTTCTTCCTCTCCCATACTCCCTGCTCCTGGATTCCTTTCACCATTACTTTGAATAAGATATGACACACACATTGTTCCAAATCCCTGTATCATCTATTCGCCAAGTGTTTCACCATTTTTAAAGCCCTTGCAATACATTAGCACATTTGGTTCTCACCACCTTTTGAGACAGATATGGTAGATCTCATGTCCATTTTACAAATGGGAAACCAAGTGTCCAGGGAAATTGTGATGTGTTCCTCAAGTCATGTAGCCACTAAGCAGCAGAACTAAGAACACAGTTCTTGTCTTCTGACCACATCCACCTATGCAGATTCTTTCCCTTTTGAATCCCATACAGAACCTACCACAAGATAATTACTTTTGGGTTGTTTCCAATTAAAAAACAATGAAATAAAACTAATAATGATTTTAAACTTTATGTTCAAACCCCACACATTCTATTACATAACACTTCATGATTTTAAATCCTACCCACCAAATTCACAAAGGTGAGTGAATATTTACATTTCTCAATATATACATCAGAACACTTAAGTAAGGTGTCAGACACAGCTGGCAAACCTTGAGTGAGGTAAGGTGTATAGATAAAATGGTTTCTGTGACATGTATTAGTTGCATAATATTTGTATTATTCACTTAAGGCTGGGAATTGCCACTCTAAAATGAACCATACTGAGGGCCTTCTTGGATGGCCCCGATTCTCAGACAGGCTTCTAATTATGTGACAATGCATAGAAGCTAATTCCTTTCTCAATCTCTCTGCACCCTATCTGGTGAGGATCTAATAGCTGGCTTAGTATTTTAGAAAGCAAACATGAATGCACGAGCACAAAAAAGATGTTGCAATGAGCAGACAGACTGTAGCAGTGAAGTTCAGTGATTCAATAATACTCTTGAAGCACGGCACATATATTGACTCTCATTTGGCATTTTTAGTCAAGTTTTAGATACTAAAATTTCTTGGGAGCATTTCTCTACCAACAGTCTTCAAAATATTTCCCTGCAGTGTCTTACTTTTTAACTGAGCTTTCTCTTGCCTTTGGTTTTCAGGTTTTTCCCCCATTGATTGTACCTTTCATCTGATACTTCTCTTTTCTTCGTCTCATTTTTAACTAAATTCATTAAGAAAAGTTCTGAAAGCATTTTGGCCTAAAACCTAGAATTCAACACAAGTTCCAATTCAACCAGTAACAAGGCACATCCTTTTCTTTGCCCAAGGCAATGTCGTGGTTTACTCTTTTAATTTACTGAAATCAAAACAGTTTTGAGGGCATGTTTAGTCTTGTACCACTAGCTATAAGACAGATGGAGGGGTGATTTCTAAATATTTTATTCCTGCTTTAGAAAAATACTGTAGACTCCCTTCTCTTTTCAACCTTTCATTAACATCATATTTAAGGGTTGTATCACAGTTAAGGTAGCCCCTGCCCCCCTCCCCTTTTTTTACTCACCGGCTGTCTTTTGACACCAAGCCAATTTTTCCAGACCAGGACCCGGAGCTGATGAAACTGGGAAGCCATCCTTCCAAAAACCACGAACAAGATGAATTCTTCTTTTTTTTCCACCCCCTCCAAAGAATTGGTACCCCGTCCAACTTGCTGTGTGTCAGTGCATCAAAGCCTTTTCACGGCATAGTTTTCCTAGAAGCTGGGGTAAGAAACCCACAGTTCTCCTCTTCCTGCTGGGTTTTCCCTTGAGTTAATCTTTGACCGAGAAATGCTCCTCAACCAACTCTTCCTCCCAAACAAGAACCCAGACCAGGTTCTTTCGGTGGCTTTTGCTTATTTTAAAAAAACATCCAGTTGCTGCTTGTGGCATCAAGTCTGAACTAAAGAGAGAATGAGTATCATTCAGATAATGCCTCACTGTAGAAAAAAAAAAATCTGAACCCGCACCTCCTACTCTCCATGAAATTAACTGCCTATCCACACCTTCAAGAAGGTGTCACCGGCACTAGACACGTCATGAGGAATTAGGTGGGACCCTTGCCCGGCCAGTAGGACTTGTCCTGCATTCCCTTACCTTCTTCGCTACATAATGCCTGCTTTGGCAGAGGCAGGGAGCAGACAGCCGTTTTACAGACTTTGGGCCCAGTGACTCTAACAATACATAGGGTCATTAAGATGCTTTCAGTCGGTAAGGCCAGAACTCTGTTGAAAAGCTCTGAAACCCAGCACATCATTAGATATATATACACAGTCTCAATCTTTAGCCTAAAGTTGTGGTAAATTCTTTGACTTGGGGGGAAGTTGCCTGTGTTGGTTAAGTTCTACCATCTGTCACAGTTTACTAGGATGAGCAAAATGCAGAAAATAAAAGATAGGCTGTAAGCAACATAAATGACATAGAAAGGATTTGCTCATTTTAAGGGTAGGGACTCACACATCTATTACAGGAAAATCACGTTGTTTCAGGCTTTTATGATTATAGGAGACACAGGCTGACCCAGGAAATTTCTGAGTTTATGATATAACAGAGTTCTAAAAACACTTGAATGTCTTAATCAGCAGGAGAAATCTAATGTAAATCAGGGGAAGAGAAAAAGGCTGCATGCTAGAATTATTCAAGGTACTTCATAATTAAGTGGTGACTTTAATTGTGACAACAGTATATATAAAATGGAGAAATTTGGTATAAAGACTTCCAGGAGTAACTTTGCTTAAACACCTTAATGACAACCTGTTCTCTCTGATGTTCAAAGCCTCCACAATCTGGCTCTGGTCAGTTTTCCAAGAGTCCATTACAAATGCTTGACTGACTGCCAAACTGTTATATATTACGATGTGCAGACATACCTCTGCTTTCTGACCCCTGACTTGCCTGTCCTCTACCTGGAATTCAGTCCTCCCTCTCTAAGCTCCTACCTCTCTAAATTATCGCCATGTTGACATCTGCCATAGAGCCTTTTTAGACATACCCTATAGGATATCCTCTTCCTGAATCCAGCATAGATCATATTTCTCTCAAGGAAATTGCATTTGGCCCTATTGTTATTTTTACATGTCTTATTTTACCACTGGATTGTAAATAATTTGAGAGCATGGATTATTCTATATCACAATACTTTACACATGATCAATGCTCAATAATCGCTGAATTTAATTGAATATTGAATAGACTATTTGTACCAAGGCTAATGAAACTCCCCACTTGGTCCTCACACCTTTCTGTGACTGATACAGACTACTCATGAAATCAGTCAGAGCAATGTTTAAGTTCTCCCTTAAACCCAGAGCAAATGCTGGTACAGCTTCCTGTTCTCCAGGCCAGCGATCCGGTGTCGTTGGCAACCAGCCTGGGGCTGACGGGAGCCATGTCGACACAGGCCCATTACCTCAACTTTGGCTCTGTCCCTACTGAGATGAGTCTCTCCATGCCCGATTCCCATGAGGCAGTCAATCCTGAATATCTAGAATTTAGCCCTTTAATTTTTATTTTCTGGATAAAGTTAAACTGGATAAAGTTAAAGACAAGGTATTCCTCAGACAGCTGACAGCCTTGGAATAATACCCCTCTTCACCAATGCTGGGATTCAGTATCTGAGATTCTTCTGGCTTTCTCAAGCTTTGTGGATGACGTGAGCTCCTGCTTTCTTCCTTCTTTGCCATCTATCACAGTCTATAACTCACTCATGATTTGGTTCACAAACAAACATTCAGTTATGAAGACAAGGTGGGATTTGGGAGGTGACTCTACACATCAAGGGACATTACAGGCACAATCACTGTAATTCAGTCAGGTTACTTCAGGTTAAAAACTACTGACTCACTACGTGACTGATGCAGGTGAGAGGTCACCTCAGAAAGCACCAGATGGTTTCTTCCAGCAGCTGCTCATCACTTATCCAAGGTAATCATGGAGTTGTTTTGGTTAACTTTGGTTAAAGATTCTCTCTCAGGCTGTCCTCTTACCCAGACCTTCATCTACTACCTCTAATTTTCTGAAGATAATGTCTTTTATTACAACCCATGACCTCCCAGGAGATCTATCTCTTCAAAGTCACTTCAAAACTATACATTAGGTGTTTAATATAGAAAATATCCTTTTATGCTTGAAGGCACACAGTATTATAGTTCCAAACATCACACACATTTCCTTGAGGACTGGGGTAATCTTTTACAAAACATAATTCAAAGTAGTTTAAGTTGGGTTACATAGACAGTTAGACTTCCAAATTTTTCCCCACTTGAATATCTGTATCTCAGCATCTATACTGATCATGACCGCTTCTAGTATCTTCTCTAAGATTTTCAAATTTCTTTTAAAATTTTATTTTAAAAACATCTTTTAAAGTTCCATTGTAAAAAAGGCCTTATCTTTAATTTTGGAAGCTATAGCTTATGTAAATCAAGAATCACAACCTCTGATCACAGCTGAACTTGAAGAATTATTGTGCCAATCAAAAGGAAAGGGAAGACAGAGAGAATGTGGAAGAAGATTAAAGACAGCGAATTATTTTTCTTTTTTTCTGCACAGAGGAAGATACAGCTTTGTGCTCTACTCCTGATTGTAAATTGGGGTGCTATTGGCAGATACCTCAGAATTTCCTCTTGTGGGAAGACAGAACAATTCAGCAACCAGAAATAACCTGCATCCAGGACACACAGCTGCTGAAAATTTTTTTTAAAGCAAAAAACTAAACTGAACAGCAAATAAATAGAGGCAAGCATAGGACAACACAAAATCCATGAAAGAATTCATTTACCATTAAGTTTACACAGATTTTATTCTTATACTAGTAATGAGAAGTTAAATCCCTCTATCTGGCAGGACTGTGGTGATATGCCACATAGTTAGCTGTTCCAGCACGTCTCCAGCAGCCCCAGTTTTCTTTTAGGTGACTTCCAAGTCTCGGTCCGTAATACCTGCCTCCATCCCCTTTCTCTGCTGCTGGTCACTCTGCTCCTTGGCAATCAACACATGCGTCCCTTTCTCGAGCAAGGAGTCATCATATCTATCAGAATTTAGGCAGGGTCTGCTTTTGTGCACTCACTTCACCAACAGTAAAAACAAAAATATAGCTCTTTGGAGAATAGTTTGCTCAAAAATTAGTTAGTCCCAGGATTCCAGCATTCTGTTTTCCTGAGCTCTAGTCATCTCAAGTTTTGGAGAACAGTTCAACCAGCTCAAACATGACTGAGCCTTGCCCAGATTTAGTTTTGATCATGCATGGCAATCCTCCATAGATTAGTCTCTTCCAGGGTCACCCCCAGGGTCACTTTACCTACTGAACCTAGTAGAATGATGCCTCTGCCACAGTTACACAACTGTGTAATGGGCAGGCCCCATAAGCATTGCAGGTGGCAGCTCTTGGCAGTCAGGCATCATGTAGCACACTCGGGACCAGGGCAAGAGGAAATCAATCCAACCACACATGGGCTAAAATACATCAATTTGTTTTAATAGTATTTATTAAAGATATATATCAATGATAATAAATATTAGACTACAATCTAATATTGTTTAACTCATCACTGTATAACAGGAATCTAACACAGGTCTTGCCCTATAGGAGCTGGTGAATTAATCCTTATTGAATAATTGAGTAGCAAACATTTGTTAAGTCATTGCAGGAGGCCCACCATAAAGAAAATGGCATTATCCCCATTTTCAGAAGGAGAAAGTGACACTCAGAGAGAGAATGTAACTTGCTTAAGTTCACTCAGTTAAAAGTATGGATTCTGGCAACAGCAAAGAGGGAACTCAAACCCTAACTCCATACCTACCATCTCTGTGCAGTGCTGCATCCAGTCCCATGAACTGCACTGGGTGGGAAGAGCTGGGAAGGACAGAAAAGAACTTAAGGGTTTTCCCTGGTTCTCTAGAGACCTATCCATTAAAAATGAAAAATTGTTGCCAAAATGAGTGCACAAACAATAATTGTACCAGGAATTCAGGAAAAGGAAGGCTGTTTTTTCAGAGAACTTCCTGGCCTGGCCCTTACCAGCTTCATCAGGCGTCTCTCCACTCCCAGCCACTCCTCCCGCCATTTGCTATGATGCCTCGGATGAGGACTATTCACCTTCGGGCTTTGATCGTGCTGTTCCTTTTACCCAAAATGAAATCATGCTCATTGTTAACTGACTGACTCAAGGGTTACTTCCTCTCTGAAGCTTTTCCAGCCTTTCCACCTGCCACAACCCCACTCCCAGCCAAATTAATCACCCCCTCACCTGTTTTAGTGTAGATCTCTGTTCATAAAGATCCTCAAGTCCTTATTAGCCTCTTAGTCTCTCCATGCACACGGAGGCCCTTGAAGATAGGGACCATGTCTTTTGGAACACTGGGTTTGAGGGTTAATTCTATATCCCTGGAGGATGGTGATCACTCTGGCCTGACTAGATCAAAGAGCTGGTTTAAAATTGTAGAAGATAAAGTTTGAAGACAGATGATGCCATATTGACAGCTCAGAATATGAAGTTCCTGTCATCTTCTTCTAAAGAGATGGAGTGAGATAAAACTTGATGCTAAGGGAAGGTAAAAATGTTAGTAGAATGAGAGATTCAGGTGAAGATCTGAAACTTCTGTATTGGATGGGGAAAAAAATGTGGAATTGAGTTAATAATGAAGTGAAAGAGATTAAGGATCTTAATGGCAACCAGATCCATAATTTTATTCCTTCACCTCCAAACTGCTTTTTGTGCATAGCATCAATGACTATTTGCTTTGTCACCATTAATTGACTTAAACATTAAGATGCTATGAGATGCTCATCACATATAAGATCTAATCTTTATAATAAAGCTAGGAGGTCAATACTATATTCTCTGCTTAATAGATGAGGAAGCATAGGTCAAGTAGCTTTTCTGGATCACATGCCTAGTGAGTGTCAGAATAGTGATTTGAACCCAGATC